TCTTCGTCTGAGGTACTGGGGTCCACCACATCCCCATTGGGACATTGTGGGTCTACCTCGCCCTTCCCGTTAAACGGGATATCAAAAGTTCGAAGGGGTCCAGTCTCCTCCCCATTAAGCGTTCTATAGCACCACGCAACATACTCATGGGTTTCAGATTCTAACTCCCCGACATCTACCCATACTAAAGTGTAGTATCTAATGTACATATTCCCGTCCCCTACGGGATGTACTGACATGGTCTTCTCGATGAAATGGGGAATGCCAAAATGCACGAGCGGCTCTGCTATCTTCACTGCTGGGGGTCTGAAAAGTAGGGTTTTGAACAACTATGAGACGAATCTCAGTAAGTAAGCTCCCTAAACCTAAACTAGGCAAACGTGCACCTCCTGACAGGTAAACAATCACACACAATCACAAACAACAATAATGGCCCAGGCCCTCGAGCCCAGGTTGGTCACATTCTTGACCCTGCAGGTTAGACAATTTATATAAAATGCCCAAGGCACACACGTGTATTCATTTAGCCACACGTACGTCAAACGCATGCTCATACTCATAAATGTTCGTGCTGCACATCAGTCACCGAGTCGCATGTTCTCGCACTCATGCACACACGTGCCTCTAATATGCCATGCTCATGACTCGGCTCAATATCACACACTGCCAATATCTCAATTTATTACTCGACCCGCGTAATACGCATCAGGTCTAAATTTATTAGCAACACTTCATGGCCCGCGTGAAACGCATCAGGCCCGGTGTCTCTTGCCCGCGTAAAACGCCTCAGGCGCAACACCGATCTCCATATACGGACCACACCCGCGTAAAACGCATCAGGTTGGCCGTCTTCCGGCAATCCGGGCATCGTCCCGCGTAACACGCATCAGGACGGACTTTATGTGATCACATGGGCACACTATTAATTATTATCTGGACCCCGCGTAAAACGCATCAGGGTATTTTAGTGATCACATGCTCATTCTCGACATGCAGAAATACATGGCCAAGCAATTCTCACATTCTAGCATGTCACAATATAAAATGAGCATAACATTTCGAATGAACAAATAATTAATCAATGCCGATTTCATACACCAATTACGCCACAACGTACTCAATTTCGGTCACACTTAGTCCAATTCTTGCACGGTCCATAATATCACATATAAAACACACCATTTGGACATGAAATTAACCACAATCGGGGCCCGCTATTCTAGCACATACTCGGCCCAATTCACATACGGCATGGCATCACAACATTTCAACCAACAAATCACCCGAAGCAATTCAATTGAACAATACACCAATTACTCGATTAAGCTTAACTATTAGCCAGACTAAGCTAATTCGGTTTCCCCCATTGACCGCACCAGAACAGCCCCTCACGGGCCTTAATTTGCGTCCAAAATAACATTTTAATCCCTTTAAATCACTACACAACCAGCCAATATCAATTCAGCCACTAATTACCCCTAAATCACCCCAATTAAGCCCTAAACCCACTATTCCTATCTAGAAAGTGCAATTAAGCCTAAATTGGGTTTAGGGTTAATACTCACCGGTGGACGGCAAGATCGGCGGCGGAGTTCTGACGGCGACAACTCACGACGATCGGCGACGTACGGACGCGCGTACAGACTCCCGTGTACGGACCATACGGACGGGCGGTGTACGGACTGTACGGACGGGCGGTGTACGGACCGTACGGGGACGGGTGTACGGACTCGTACGGGGACGGCGGCAGAAAAAAAGCTCGGCTGGACGGTGCTCCGGCAGTGGCTGGTCGGTCTTCACGGCTTGGATGGGAGGAAACGGCTAAGAAGAAAATGAAAGGAGGAAATGGGGAGGAGATGAAAATGGCGTGGAAGTGAAGTGGGCAAGGGGATGGCCGGTCCAAGGGAGTCCAAGGGCAGTCAAAGGAATCCTTAGTGGAGTCCAAGTGTCATCCATCAAGACCACTTGACCATTCTACCCCTAATTCAAGGGTTGACATTCATCCTCATCCAATAATTCATGGGCAATTTGGTCAATAAGCTCAATTATTGGGCTGACCCCATTTAATTAAATAAAACCTTAATTAAACCCCCAAAAATGGCCAAAATTCGGAATTAAGAAAATAGGCCTAGGGGCATTTTCGTAATTTTCCGGTCCCGGGTCGAAATTTCATTTTTCGCCCGTACCAACCCCAAACATGCGTGGCCACTCAAAAATGACGTCGGCCTTGCAAAATAGTCGTATACGACCTCGAAAATCGATGCCCAAGTCCGGGTTAATTTTCCGCGATCAAAATCGCTCAATTTCAAATTTTAAAGTCTCTGACTAACGGGCCGCTGTTTAGGGGTTATGCGTATCGACCTATGGATACTCGAGTCATGACGGCCTTGATGACCGGGAAAACGTGAGAATTTATCACTAGTGCCGGAGGTTACGATCGGTCGGTTTAAGTTCGGGATTTGTTCGCCACGTGTACTTTCGGTCGTGCGGAATCACCCGTGATCCGATTGTACATCGTTGGCCAAACCATATCCGTCACCTTCCTAGGATCGGCCTACATTGGCCCAAAATATTTCCTCGCCGTTTCTCGGAATCGGTGCCCAATTCACTATCGGGCCCCTGGTCCACGTACCGTTTCTTAATTAGCCATTCCCTTTTGGTTAGTTTCCCGAGAGTGATCAATTCCGGGCGAGACTTACCAAAGTGAAATGAGAAATAATATCTACTTTATTGATCCCGAAAATGGGTCGAAATTCGGGATGTTACAGCACCCACCAGTTACAGAACCCCATTTTCAACATAGCAGCTTCGAGAAAGTCCCACTCTACCCTGTCATAGGCTTTCTTCATATCAAGTTTTACCACTGCCTGGAATCTTTTTTTCCTTTTTCTGATACGCAATTGGTGAAGGACTTCCTAAACAATCAGAATGTTGTCTTGTATTTGTCTACCGACCACAAACGGACTTTGTTCTCCTTCTACTATCGCTGGCAACCACTGCTTCAATCTATTTGCCATGATTTTGGAGATAATTTTGTATGCGAAGTTGCAAAGGCTGATAGGTCTGAACTGATCAAGGCTTTCCGGGTGATGAACTTTTGGGATCAAAGTGATATATGTTCTGTTCAGTTCTGGGTTTAGATTTCCAGAATGAAAAAATTCCTTCACTTCTTCAAAAATCCCATTTTTTAAGCTTTCCCAATTTCTTTGGTAAAATTGGCCATTCAAGCCATCCGGTCCCGGCGCCTTCAATGAGCCTAATTGAAATGATGCTGTATGGACCTCTTCCATTGTGACCTGAGCTGTCAAATATTGGTTCATCTCAGTCGTGACAATAGTAGAGCACTGTTGCAAAACAGGTTCAAATTGTCGGGGGCCCTCCGAATGATAAAGCTTTTGAAAGAAGTCCCCTGTCATTTCTTTTAACCTCTCTGGACCACGAATCCATATGTTTTCTGCATTTTTTAGCATCGATATTCTGTTCCTCTGTCGTCTTTGAATCGTTGTGGCGTGAAAGTATTTTGTGTTCTTATCACCCCATTTCAGCCAATTGATTCGGGATCTCATTCCCCAATACATTTCCTCCTGTCTCCACAGTGTTTCAATCTGTTCAGTAATGGCCCTCCTTTTGTTTTGCCTATTGTGCAGATTGTAATCATTTGTTATGCTCATGAGTTCTTCTTGCAACTCTTTAATCTTCTTGCGGCTGTTCTGAAAAGTGTTCCTGCTCCAAGCTGCGAATCCCCTTGAAACTTCCTGTATTTTCTTCACTAGATTAGAATGTTGTAATCTATCTTGATTCCAGATTTGTGTGATTGTCCTCCCACAATCCATATGTTCCAGCCAGAATGCTTCAAATTTGAATGTTCTCTTACTCCTAGGAGGTTCGGCTGCTAATATCAGTAATATAGGGCTGTGATTAGATCCGATGGCCGGTAGAGCGAAAACCTCAGCTTGAGGGAATGATATTCTCCACTCAATATTGCAAACCGCCCTATCCAGTCTTTCTTTAACAAAATCCTGCCCTTCTCGATTGTTCGCCCAAGTGAATGCGCATCCTTTACTCTCTAAATCCATTAAACTACAAGCATTGAGGAAATCTCTAAATGCATTTAGTCTATGTTGTTCCGGAGGCCTCTTCCCTTGCTTTTCCCAGTAATTCAAAATGTCATTGTAGTCCCCTATACACACCCAAGGCAAGGTGTTTTGGCTACTCAGCATCTTCATCTCTTCCCAAAATTTAATTTTATCCTGGAACGATGTTGGGGCATGAATAAAGGTAGCTCTGAATTGTTTACCCACTTCATCGTCTAGAAGAGTGATATCAATGAACTCATTTGTGGAAAGATTAACCTTCAAGGAAATTCCATCCTTCCACATTAGAGCTAAGCCCCCCCCAACCCCCACCGGATTGACATTATAGCAGTTTTGAAAGTTTAAATTCCTGCTGATACGGCGAACTGTAAAATCTTGGTTCTTGGTCTCCATAAAAAAAACCACCTCGGGCCTTTCCTCGGCTATAATGGCCCTTAAAGCTTGAACTGTCAAGGGTGTGCCCAACCCCTGACAGTTCCAACAGAATAGCTTCATATGTAACCCGGTGGCTTATTAGGGCTAGCCACCAAAGCCCATTGATTAGGTTCTTTTGCAAGTTGCACCGGAGTTTCTAAAAGCTGTGTTTCATCTAGCACTTGGCCATCCGAGGTTTTTTGATCATACGGTCCGAATCTTCTACCCTTCTTATGATTCCTTGCCTTCAGCTTTCTACAGTTGCTCTGCAGTCTTTCACCTGCTATCAGCGATGGGGCTATGTTGATCTGCAGAGGAGAGGCTAATTCAAGATCAGCATCTACTTCGATTTCTGGTATGTTCACTATAGCCAGCAACTCCTGTTCCATTAATTTCCTCTTACCCCTATCCTCTTGTATATTGTGTGGTCGTGTATGCAAGCCACCTTCTTTATTCTGCGTCACTGTGATCAATCCTGAGTTTTCTGGGGTTTCCAGTACCATCTCCCGCTCATCTTCCATTTCACAGATTTCCCCATAATAGGCTATCCAAAATGGGCTAATAGAATTCTCTTCAGCTTTTAGCCAGGGCCCGTATAGCAGTGTTTCAGTTTTGGACATGAGTTCGACCTCATAAGGCACAAGTTGACAGATTTTTGCATAATGTCCAATAACCCCACACGAATAGCAGAAATGGGGAAGTCTTTCATACCTAAAGTCCATCCAATGCTCCTTGCCTCTAAAACTAGAAAGCATGCCTGAGGAAAGGGGATTTGATAATTTTAACATAACTCTAGCTCTCCCCACCACTATGGATGCAAAGCCTTTTGTTTCTATGCGTACTTCTGAAACTTCACCTACATTTCCTGCTATTTCTCTTATTGCTGCTTCAGACCTCCCTGCTATAGGCAATCCATGAATTTGAACCCAAAAGGTAGAGGAGTCAAATATAATACAATGTGGAGGCATACTTGGCTCCCATAGCTTTAATACCAGCAAATGACTTGAGAAGGACCAAGGTCCAGAGTTCAGTATTTTGTTTCTCACCTCCACGGACTCAAACTCAAATGAAAATAGACCTGGTTATAGATGCTTGCAAATGACAGAATTCGATTTCCATGCTTTCTTCATCGTGGCTTGGAAGGCTTGGAAATTAACAGACGGGCTTCCAAAAAGCTTGCCGAAAACAGTACGTTCACACTCTTGCAATTTGTCCTCAGTCACCACATTATCTAACACATCGATTTTTCTTCCTATCCATAGATGTCCTAACCTTCTACACAATGCCGCCATCCTTAGCTCCCGTTCTCTGTTTTCTCCCATATTGTTAGATATCTATTACTCAGGCAACCTAAAACCCCTAACTTGCGATTTGTTTCGGTTGCATTTCTTCCTCAGGGACCCAAAGAGAGGAACCATCTATAGGAGAGGGGAACCTACCAGAAGAAGGACAATGATCCATTCTGGATACAACTATCACCCATCGTGGGTTTCTTCTACGCCATTTCTTTTGCTTTTGAACCTTGAAAAAAGGTTAACAGTGGCTGTGGACTTCTGGAACGGAGTGGCGCCAGAGGAGGGAACTAATCAACCAACGACTGCACCTGGAAACCAGCGGCCTTTGTGCTGTGGTTGCGCCTCTTTCTTCAAAGTCGGGATTTTGGATCTAAGTCTCGTCATTTAGAATGGGGAACAGAGAAGTTAAGGGTTTTGGAAAGGTGTAAGGGTAGGGAGTAGAAACAAACTATGGTATTGTTGTGGATATGGATTCTTGGGATTTTGGGAGGAAAACAGGGTTTAGGGCAAAGCTATCCAGGTGATAGAGAAGGGCTCTTCATGCGAGAGAGAAATTGAAGGACTCTCTGTAACGAGCAACAAGTTAGATTGCAAAATTCGTTTCTTAGATTTCCAACTAGTAGCACCACCTCTAAATACTAAAAATCATCCCTATTTTGGACTTCTATCAGTTGCACTTGAATTGAGCCCCGAATTGAGCAGAAGATTGATAATGCGAGAAGATGATAAAGCGAGATTGATAATGCCTAAGTGGGAAATGCTGGAGTTTTAGGTTTTTCTTAGAGGTGGGTAACGAGAACGATGGGGGTAACAAGGGACAGAAAATGCAGTTTGGTGAATAAATAGACAAGGATGATGGGTGGGACATGGAAGTTGAAATCTATTCCTCAACGTGAAAAGTGTAGGTTTTCAAAAGGGGAAAAATGCCAAAAAAGTTCTAAACCTTTTGCATTTGTGTTAATTTAGTCATAAACCTTTTTTTTGGTGCTAATTCAATCCTAAACCTTTTGCATTGATGTCAATTTAGTCCTAAACCTTTTTTTGGTGCCAATTCAGTCCTAAACCTTTTGCATTGGTGTTAATTCAGTTCTAAACCTTTTGTCTTTATGCCAATTCAATCCTTCCGGTCAATTTTGGCCAGATTTTGCTGATGTGGATGCCAACTGGCCGGCGGCCGGTCACCGGCGCTGACGTAGATAAATTTACTAATTTTTAAATATTTTTTTGAATATTTATTTATTTATTTTCTTTTCTTTTTTTCCCCTCCCCTCCCCTCCCCTCCCCTCCCCTCCCTCCTTCCTCCAGCCGGTTGTCGGACGGGCGACCGGCCAGAGGCCAGAGGCCGACGTTGGTGAGGTCGACCTCGCCGTTGCTGGCGATGTTGAGCCTCGCCGGCGGCTGGGCGAGGCTCGCCCTCACCGGTTCTGGCGAGGTCGTGCCAGCCGCTGGCGAGGCTCGACCTCACCGGATCCGGCGAGGTTGGGCCTCGCCCAGCCATGGCGAGACTCGAGTCCTCGCCGGCGGCTGGGCAAGGCACAACCTCGCCAGATCTAGAGAGGTCGGGCCTCGCCCAGCCATGGTAAGGCTCGCCTTCGCCGTCGCTGGCGAGGGAGGCACGACCTCGTCGGATCTGGTGAGGTTGAGCTTCGTCGGTGGCTGGGCGAGGTCGAGCCTTGCCAATGGCCGGCGTGGGCGAGCCTTGCCGGCGTCGGCCTCTGGCCTCTGGTAGGTCGCCGGACTGGCGACCGGCTAGAGGAAGGAAGGAGGGGAGGGAAAAAAGAAAAGAAAATAAAAATAAATTAAAATTCAAAATAATATTAAAACATTATTAAGTTGTCCACATCAGCGCCGGTGACCAGCCACCGGCCAGTCGGCGTCCACGTCAGCAAAATCCAGCCAAAATTGGCCGGAAGGACTGAATTGGCACAAAGACAAAAAGTTTAAGACTGAATTGGCACAAATGCAAAAGGTTTATGACTAAATTAGCACAAAAAAAGGTTTAGGACTAAATTGGTATCAATGCAAAAGGTTTAGGACTGAATTGGCACAAAAAAAAGGTTTAGGATTAAATTGGCACAAATACAAAAGGTTTAGGACTTTTTTGACACTTTTCCCTTTTCAAAAGTGATGATGCAAATCGATGTATATGCACCAACATAAATGGAAATATTACTTCCATTCAACTAACATAAATTAAACATGTTTTAGTAATGGACATTCACAAATTTAATGGAGCGACTCCATGTAGGCATTTTCTTGAAAATTTTTAGGTGCTTACGAGGCATATTTCATCTCTATTGCATGCTTGTGGACCTTGCTTCATGGACATCACTTGCAATAGTTTGATATTAGGGTTAATACCACGAAAAATCCCAAATTGATACACATGTGATAATTTTACCTCAAACTATTTTTTTGACCACAGAAAACCCCAAACTAGTACACATGTGACAAATTTACCTCAAATTATTTTTTTGACTACCAAAAACCTCAAACTGGTACACGTGTGACAATTTTATCCCGAACTAATTTTTTGACCACCAAAAACCATAAACTGGTACACCTGTGATAATTTTACTCCGAACTAATTTTTTAACCACTAAAAACCCAAAACTGGTACATTTGTGATAAATTTACCCTTCGTTAGTGTTCATTAAATTTGATTAATATCACGAAAAATCACAAATTGATAAACTTGTGATAAACAGAGAGGTAAAATCCAAAACTGGTACACCTGTCAATTACCACGTGTCATTAAACTTAGCAAATTGATAGTAGAATTTAACGGAAACTAACGGAGGTTAAATTTATCACAGGTGTACCAGTTTGGGATTTTTGGTGGTCAAAAAATTAGTTTTGGGGTAAAATTATCACAGGTGTACCAGTGTGGGGTTTTTTGTGGTAAAAAAAATAGTTTGGGGTAAAATTGTTACAGGTATACAAGTTTGGGATTTTTTGTGGTAAAAAAATAATTTAGGATAAATTTGTCACAAATATGTCAATTTAGGATTTTTCGTGGTATTAACCCTTGATATTATTGTCGCATGCGTGAGGATTCAAATTGATCCTCCAAACTGGAGGCTGTGGCTCCTCCATCGCCGTGAGCCTCAGATGGTGAGACCAAGATAGAGATCAAGATATGAACAGTGATAAAGGAGCTGCCGAGATCCATGGCGGCATAGTATACATACATACATATATATATATTGGTGTTAAGGTTTTTTCTTGGGATTTAGATTAAGTATGGTGATGAGTGTAATTAGATGAATATGTGTCGCAATCCTACGATGGAGATAATAAATGTGACATAATCAAACTATACACGGGCCATTTAATGTAAAAATAGGCCTGTGAAAGTGGGCCCACCTAAGACGTGATAGACAAATAGACAATAACCTCGTCCTAGAGGTGGCCATGGTTCGGAACCGACCGGTTCCGGTTCGGAACCGGCGGTTCCGGTTCGTGGCCAAGCGTGAACCGGAACCGTACGGTTCAGGGCCGGTTCCTATTTTTTTCTGTTTTTTTTTCTTTTCCTTTTCCTTTTCTTTTTTTTTTTCTTCCTCCGCGGTCGGCCATAGCCGGGGCCGGCGCGGAGGTCGCCGCCTCTAGGCGAGGCGGCCCTCGCGGCGTCGGGCGAGGCCGGCCCTCGGGCCGGGCGAGGCCGGCCGGCCTCGCCCGACGCCGGCGAGGTCGAGCCTCGCCGGTTGCGAGGCGAGGCCGAGCCTTGCGGCGTCGGGCGAGGCCGGCTCGCCCGGCCCGGGCGAGGGCCGGCCTCGCCGACGCCGGCGAGGTCGAGCCTCGCCAAGAACCCGGCGAGGCTCGACCTGCGGCGGCGTCGGGCGAGGCTCGACCTCGCCGGCGGCCGGGCGAGGCCGGCCTCGCCCAGCCTGGGAGAGGCCGGCTCGCCCGACGCCGGCGAGGTCGAGCCTCGCCGGTTGCGGGCGAGGCCGAGCCTCGCCCGACGCCGGCGAGGTCGAGCCTCGCCCGTTGCAGGAGCCTCGCCTCGCCGGCGTCGGGCGAGGCCGGCCTCGCCCGGCCCGGGGCGAGGGCCGTCCTCGCCCGACGCCGGCGAGGGCCCCTCGCCCGACGCCCGGCGACCTCCGCGCCGGCCCCGGCCATGGCCGGCCGGCGGCCGCGGAGGAAGAAAAAAAAATTAAAATATAAATTATAATTTTAAAAAACAGAAACAAGGAAAAAAGACAAAAGAGAAAAAGGAAAAACAGAAAAGGAAAAGGAAAAGAAAAAGAAGAAATACAGAAAAGGAAAAACAGAAATGAAAATAAAAAAAATTAAAAAAAATACTATTCTTGTGATAGAACATTATTCAATATAAATTGTGATTAAAATGTAAATTTTATTCAAATTTGGGGACAAAAAGACAAGAGAAAAAGAGAGGGCTTCAACTTAATAAATTATCATTAAGCACATTACAATTCGTTACAACGATCTTAAAAAAAAAGGAGTACAATATATATACCCTAAAATTATCCCAAAACCTAAGCATTCCGTGCGCAGGGGACCAGAGGTCACATATCGTCGGATTATATTTCGGTTTCCCTAAGCTCACGTGGGCGTACCCGGTATGAGAAACAAGAGTTCCCGAAATATTTGCTAACTCCAATAGTTCTTTTACCCTCAATCGTCACTACCCGTTCCAGTACCGATAGTGGTAGCGGTAGTATCTCCGTCGTTAAAGAATTCGGATTCATTATTCCGATCTATCTCTTGTTGCCGGTATTGAGCCTTCGTCCAATCAGCAACACAAGCTTGCATCTCCACTGATTCTGGATATAATCTTGAACGATGTTCGTTCAAAATATTACCTCCGGCACTGAATGCTTGTTCGACCGCAACTGTAGAACAAGGGGTTGAAAAAATCTGTTTTGCAATAAGAGAAAGGATTGGGTATTGGCTTGCGTGCCTCTTCCACCAATCCAAAATAAAAAAATCTGTACCACCTTCGACTCGAGAACTCAAATAAAATGGTTAGATAACTCTCTAATTCAGAAATATTTGCTATTACTCCCTTTTGTTTTTTTTTTTGTCTATGTAATAAAAGTTGGTACCCTCTACTAATTTTACTGTCTTGTCATTTTGTATCTCGTAGATTGAGAAGATCTAATATCACCTAAATTATATTTAGTATAAAATTCATTATATAATTCTATTACTACGTTTTTAACCTCACGTACTATGGTTGTAACATTTGTCACATCATAATGTAAACATTGATAATACGCACGCAAAAAATCATTTAAGCCATCCAATTTGCAACGCGGATCAAAAACACAAGCAACTAAATAAATCATGGGAATTTCACTATAATAATGAAGCCATTTCATTTTCATTGCAACTACAGTAGGTTGTAATTCAACATCATTTTCATATTCATCAAAAGTTCCGACAATATTAGTACACTCTACTAAAAATAAATGTGTAGTAGGATAATGAACACCAGACAAAGTATAAGTTGCATCATTAAAAACCTTTAAAAGATCTAAATTTTTTTGGCAAA